GTATAACAACTTTTGGTTTACAAAACTTTGTCATCTTCAACCCTCTCCTTATAACGCCTGAATAATGCCTGCACCCCTTAGGTTTAGACATTGCCCATGAAACAACTGTCCCTGTGAGAAACCTTGAGTTGAAAGTTTTCTTACCCACCCTTTTCTCAGCATGCTCTTAAAGACAGGCAGATCGAATGACTTGGCACTGTTTTGCTGTTGTGTCAGTAGAGAGGACTATATGATGACCTAATGGAAGTTTTGCAGCCCTTACTACCTATAGATACTCTCATCTTATGCAGCTGCCAAATTCATTTTCAAGGGTGAGCAACTGCCTTGATACTTGCCAAATGTTTCCACTGCCATAATAGCCCAGTATATTCAGTGATGTGTAACACACCCCATTCTAGCTGCTGAATCTTTCTACAGTTTTTTGTAAACACAGGAGTACTAGGGTTCCATTTTAGCTTTGATTCAAATCTTACAATCATCCTCTCTTGTTCTCGAGGATTTTCAGGCTCCTAGGTGATTGCAAATGCTAACCCCAGGTCTCTGCAGAGCTGGTTTGATTGCATATTACTAAATAAGAACAGAACTCCTTCAGACTTATCCTGGGGCTACCATTTTGTGGGCAAAGTACCTTGACAGGGCTTAGCAATCTGTTGATTTGGTATTTTTTGCACTAGAAGGTCCCAGCCTGAATCACTTAAGCTAGTATTACTCCTTTCAACGTTCATGTTTGCTCTCTGGTCCAAACAGCATCTTTCAAGACACATTCTTTCTTAGGGCATCCTCAGTTTTCTTAGATGTCTTTTTCCCTTTGTCTCATGTACCTTAAAGTGATTCTTTCTTTAAGTCTGTCATGGAGAGATTCTTCCTCAGTTCTTTGTGACAAAAGATCTTCCCCCTCCCTCTAAAATGCTCCCCTGATTTAAGACATTCTCCTTTTCAGGGTGTTCTGTCTTATAATGCGAATAAATTTATATGGGCCACTTGATGCAGTTAGTGGCTGTGATACAAACCTATCACTAGTAAAATTTGTGGCCATTGAGCTTTTTCAGTAATTCATAGTGATTTGGCTACTTTAATTTCTGATTGTATTATAGCTATGATTCATTCATCTCAATAGTTCTACAGGATGCACTGTTTGTATCATTTTTTTGTATTAATTCTAGACTTTTTCACAGCAAAAACAGGAGGTGAGAAGTGATGAAAACGGAAGGCAGTGAAGTGATGTAAGGGGTGCACGTATGTTTATCTTCCTCAGTGGTGAGCAGAATTTCTCTCCTGCTACCTATGGTTTGCTGTCCCCTCAGTTGTGGTAATGCAAGTCTTTAGGAAGATAGTTTGCAATTCACCCTACAATGATCAAGAAAGAGTCTGAATAAGCTTTTTCAATATATTTCTTTCTGTGAGTTATTTTTCCTGTGGCATACTGGATTAGGGAGCTGGTAGTGATAAAAACTGACCCAGCTCAGAAAAAAATGATTAATATGAGTTGTCCAGATTTGTGAGTGCTCATATCAGCATAGTGAAGGAGCAGGAATATGACACGGTTGGGGGGAGGCAGAAATGACTGTTTTGACAATGTCCCACATCTCTGTTGACTTAAACCAATTATTAAATTCATATTAAATTCTTATGCTTGCAAAATAGGTTATTCTGTAGCTAGATTATCTTGCTGAACAGGCTGTGCACTGTGTTGCATAAGTGCAAGTGTTGGTGGAAGGTGTAGGATGAAGGGTGGATTGTGGCAACATCTTTGGTTTTTGTAATTGTCTTCGAGCTACACCTATTGTTTTAGCTCGAAGATGTCTATATGTATCATTAATATCTGGGCTTTTCACATTCTGTGATTTCTCATCCAAGTGCTGATATGACCTTAGGCTGATGAGCAGAGCTACTTGAAAAAGGGGGAAAAAAAAGAAGGAAAAAAATCTTGGTTGGCAGCCAGCTTCGTTTTTTACAAGGGTTATTTTACACTCATGCAGAACAATATGTAATTCAGGCATTTCATCAGGCATTTGCTCAAAAGAAACCTTTATTGCAGTATTTTTCTATAATTACATTAGTGTGAAAACTTCAGTCTCTCTAGCAACATTAAGCACTAAAGTAAGAGTAATACAAGTGTAGGTCAGTCTGATATTGGGAGTTGCTGCATCTGGTAGCCCATTATAGAGGAGACTGCTGCAGCTCCTTGTGGCCAGGACCACGAGGATGTATCCTCAAGAGGCACATGTGCACAATATATGTGTATATACAGCCAGACCTCAAAAAGTTCAGCACACAAGCAGCTTCAATGGCCTCATCCTTTCCATTCACTGGCTGACTGTGAAGAAAGCTTGTTTGTGGTAAATGCTTATGTATACAACATAGATCCTCCAGCAAGTGATCCTAAATTCTTACTCTGCTCAGTTACTGGTGCCTGGATCCCCTGGTCTCCCAGCTGATGGACAAACATGCACTGGGTCTCTCTGGCAGCTGGTCTGACCAGTGGCCTGTCCCCAGGTGTCCTGGTGTCCCTCCAGTATCCGAATCTCAGACCTTCTGGTCTCTGCAGTATCTGGCCCAGACTCGTGGTGGCTCGGCTCCCAAGCCCTTCTGCATGGCTAGTGTGGCTTGGCGTTTGCCCGAGGTCACACACTGACACAGGTATCCAGGCCGTGTGCCCTGTGACCTGTGTGGTACAATTCCAGCTGCTGACATCTGTGTCTCTGTACATGGTCACACCGAATGGAGATTCTCCCTCACCCAGGAAACCAGTTACAAATGTAGTTTAACAAGCAGACAGGACGATCTGCAGTGCTCAGACCCAGGGCACGGCTGAACAACCATCCTGGGCAGCCACCTGTTCACATTCACCTGGTCCCTGTTAGCCTTCCCTCACCCCCCCAGTATCCTCCTATGCTTGTTTTTCCTAAACCACTTGCATGGTTCACTATCCTTGTCTTGCCTTCAGTTCTTCCTCTAAATATCTCGTACTGCCTTCTGCCATCCCAAAATACTCTTTCTGGCATCTCAAGATGAGTCCCATGCCCAGTGGGCAGTAATGCCCTCCCTGAGTCTGTGGAGTGGTCTAGAGAGAGCCTCTCCTGTGGACTCCAGGTCTCTCTCATCCCTAGGGCCTGGAAGCAGCTGGACTGAGGGCTTGGTTTCTTTCATTTGGGTTATTGGGGTTCCTCTGCCCCACACTGTTCATTTGTGCTCTTTGTGGGGAGGAGCCTTTAATCACTGACTTATTTTTGTCACCAAAAACTCAAGAGGCTGGGTGGGCACTGCACAACTGCTTCAACAGTGGTACAGCATAGGCTCGCCTGTGACTCCTCAATGCTGATACTGCCAGAGTCTAAACTATGTGAAGCACATCCAATTTTTTTTTTTTTCAGTTACTGAAGAACAACTAAGAACATAAATTAAAAAACTCCAAAACTCTAACCACCAGCTTTATATTCTTAATATTAGTAATGTGCATAGTGAGAGGAAATAGGAAAGGATTAGGTGTTTGTAAGTAATAGTTTTTATACAGTGCTTCTAACCACAAGAGTATTTTGTTTCTCAAATTTAAGTGTAATAGGCTTCAGACTATAAAATGCTTTATTTAATCTTGGCTTGAAAGCAATGCCAGCAAAGTGGACTGGTCACAATTTTCTTAGGTGGTACTGACAAGCCAAGTCTTAGAAATGGTTCCAAAAGTGCTTGTTATTCTAAATGCTAATTGATTTTTAGCAGTTAAAGGTCTCCCTTTGTTTAGTGTGAATTTCTTGTTTTGAATGCGGCTTGTGTCTGCTTTGGGTTTTTTTCCCCTTAGAGCAAACAAGTTTATACCTAGATCTTCATAGCCTTAGGATATTTCAGGCTATAATTATTTCTCTTTCCTTCCCCCTGCTTCTAGGCTCCCTTGTTTTCAAGGCTGGACATGTTAAGCTTAGGAAGCTGCTGCCACTATCTCAAGTGGTGTTTGTTTCCACCCTCCGGACTCTTTCAGTCGAGTGCGTCATTTTTCAAACTCAGTTTTTGCTTTTTGTACTTGAGAATACCTTTCCTTCTATCTGTTGGTTTTCTCTTTCTCCGATTTGTTGCTTTAGTTTAGACCACAGACATTTAAAGCCTTGCATGCTTTTTATGCGAGGCTTGCTTTAAGGTGATACGCTGTTCAGCAAACATTAGAAATGGAGGCACATCTTGTTAACAAAAATCAGATTTTTTTTTTTTTTTGTCCTGAAAAAACGCCTGGATAAATATAATACAAGTCAGTTGTTTGCTGGTGGATATTATGCAAAGCCCAGTATCCACACGCCGTAACGCCCTCGGTAAATCCGTCACGACTGCGGGCAGCCCCAGCCCTTGCGGTGCCGCTCGCAGCCCCGGCCGAGGGGCGACGCCGGGGTTCGCCCGGGAGCCGCCTCAGGGCCGGCGCGGCGGCGCTCGGGGCCCGCTCGCACCGAGGCGTTCGTGCCGCTCCTGACGCTGCCGGAGCTCGGCCGGCGAGCGCAGCGGGCTCTTTAAGAAGCCCCCGTGCCGGTGGCTGTCGCCGGCTGCCAAGTGCGGGAGAAGCCGAGCTTTGCGGCGAAGCCCGAGCGTAACCAGCCGGCTGGGGGAGATGCCGCCCCGCAGTGACTGACAGCAGGACCAGCTCTATGCAAATGGCGCCGGGGGCTCTGCCGGGGCTCTCTCCACACGCGCCGCCGCCTCTCGCCTCCCGCTCCCCGTAACGCGCCCTGTCTCGCACAAAGCAATTGTTGCTTTTTTTGGGGGGGACGTCGTTACACGTAAAATCATTCCAGCACGGTTTCAGTTTGAGATTGTGTGAGGGAGCTGGGAGATGTGTCAGAGCTTGTTACTCCAGCTAAATTAGGTAATTTTTAGCTGGGTAACGTGCTAATCTTTAAACCTTTATGTTTTTAAATCCTGCATATGTCTGGTCTCTTCATACAAAAGTGTATTTTGCTTGTTTCTTCTCGCCTTCTTCAGTCTGAAGCCTTATGTAGGTCAGGCTTGGCTTAAGCAGATTTCCTGAACCTGCGTCAGCTTAAGCTGAAGGAATTTTAATAAACCCTCCCTTGTAGGCGTGGGCCTAAATGAGACTAGCCTAGTTAAGCCTGATCTTTTTCTGTTTGTGAAAAAGAGCTGAGCAGAGCTAGGGACTGCATGGTGGCTCCAGGAACGGCTTCCTTAATTCAAAGATAACAATGGTTGGGAAGGCCAGATCTTCTAATTTTACCTTATCTGAAAAGCTCGATTTGCTAAAACTCGTGAAGCCGTATGTTAAAATTCTCGAGGAACATACCAATAAGCATTCTGTAATAGTGGAAAAAAACAAATGCTGGGATATTATAGCTGATAACTACAATGCCATCGGAGTAGATCGCCCTCCTCGTACTGCACAGGGCCTGCGCACGCTGTACAAGAGGCTCAAAGAATATGCCAAACAGGAGCTATTGCAGCAAAAGGAGACTCACTCAGATTGTAAAAGCAGCATTTCTGAGCCAACCAAGAAAGTTGTGGAGATGATTCCACAGATTTCCAATGTGTGTTTAAGAGCGGTGTTCAAAGGTGAGACAATTCTTTTTATTTTGTTACTGAATGAAAATTATGGCGCCTCCTATCTACTTTATAAGGCTTTTGCTCGTGCTTAGGCACCTAAAGGAAGTGTTTATCAGAGAAAATTCCCAAATGGGAAATAGTGACAAAAATAATACTGCTTTTGTTTTATGAGAAGCTTTATGTTGACTTAGCATTGCATTAATTTTTTTCAGCTCTTTCAAAGCTTTTTTCAGAGTCTTTGTCATACTCTGGAAAGTGAGGGTTAAGAGAGAATCAAAGAGAAATAGTAGCTCCAACCTCTACCCCTCCCCTACCTTTTAATAGGCAGATTATTCAAACACTGGCAAAGTGATGGCTATTCTCCTCCATTTAAGGTAATACTGCAGTCATTTTGCAACATATGGAACTGTTACCAGTTTATATAGGATTTTTAATAAAGTTAGTTCACAGAGCTAAGAAACCTTATTCACCTCTTTTCTCTCATTTACTCTGGTGCTTGCATGTTATATTTTAGCTAATCCTAGTCTTTTAAAGAAAAAAAAAAAGATTCTCCACACTGCAGTGCCTTTGTGAGTGCAAATGTTTTTTTAAATTATACTTTCCTTGTATTGACTGTGGTTCCCTGAAGCTGGAGCAAAGCTAATTGCAGTCTAAACTCCAAGCAGTTCTGTGTCGTATGTGAGGTAGTTTAAATACAGAGAGAAACTGAGAGGTACAGCACTGGAAGTTTTCTTTTTTTTCGCAAGATTTCTTTTTTTTTTACTGCTCAGTAAAGTGAGACACACTGTCTAGATTTGAGCCAGACATAATACAGGCAGGCACTGTGCAGGCTTTCTCCCACAGCTGGCTAATGCCCCTCATATCTGACTTGCAACACTCTGCTGGTTCTGTATTGGTCCTTGAGGGATCAAAAAATGCCTGGGTCGGATTTTGGTTCCTCCAGATACAAAAACTAAGCTAGGGAGTGGGGGAGGGAAGTCAAATAACTCCTCAGCAACCTTGAGAAAGCTCTGATTTTTCTTATTTTCCCAAGCAGATTAATGGGAAGTGAACTTTCCGTATTTTAATCAGATATGCTGATAGTGAGTGCAGCAGCGTAACGCTCTAAGAAAAGCTGGCATGCGCACACTCGCTGAATTGGATTCATGGTGCCACTGGTTGAACTGAATGGTAACAATTGTCTAAATCCCAACATGCCAGATGCTCTAAAAATATTCTCTTGTGGGTCCTTTGCGTAAAGAAGCCTAAAGCAACTGGACTGTGCTGCTGCTCCTGGTGAATGCCCCTGAAGGAACCATTCCAAAGAATTCTCTGGAACAAAATGAGGCTTTTAATTGCGCTAATAAAGGTTGCAGTGTCTTGCCTACCAACTTTTCTAAGGAGGGGGGGAAAAAAATAGTGTGAGAACTTTAGTTTGTAGATCAGCTTATAAAAAGCACTGACGCTTTTAGTGAATGATTAAGAGCTAATGATCTCCATAGTTTGCCTCCTGTAACTTAAACATTTTTTGCAGATTTTATGGGTCTGGGAGCACTAACTTGATTACTGCTTGTCCAAAATGGTTGTTCCTAGGAACAGCCTCTACACTGTGGGCTGAAGGAAAAAAACATAATTTAAAAGATTATTTTTTCCCCTGCCCCAATACATAATTATTTGATAGTTCTCTGAGTTGCATTTTACCCAAATTTTATAAAGCCAGTGTCGGGTTTTAACTCACCAGGATATGACTTAGGTTTTGGAGGAGGGAAATATGACTTATAACGAGCCCAAATTCTTAATCGCACCTTTAAGCAATTTCTAGCTCGCTGTGATTAAATGAAACCTGGTGAATCATGGGTGCCTGCAGGGTTATAAACACCATGCCCCAATTGTGGTAACTGTTGTTTGTCTTTCTTTCAGTCAAGTTGTCAGAAACAACATTAGTAACCACCATACAGGCAGCTCTTTTGTTTCTCAATTCCTTCTTTCTCTCTTTGCTGTCTAATTGTTTTCCTCTTAAGAAGCTGACTAAGGAAAAAAAAAACAAGCCTCATCAGAGTTACCTGAAGATTTGGTAATTTTTCTAGTTCTGTGTGGATTAAACTTTAAAGAGCTGGGGTTTTTTTTCACTGTTTGGAGGCTTTAGCCTATGCTACACGAAATCTTACCTTTCTTTCTTCTATTTAACCTCCCTTACTTTCTCTTTCTGCTCTCTCTCCATTTCCTTTTGTCAGAATGACCTGCTTCTCCTGCTGGTTGTTTCCACTTTTCTCAGGCTAGAAGCTGGCCAGGTGCCAGCAAATAAGAAGGAGAGAAGCTTTATTAGAAGCTGTGGTTATGAAGAGGGGGGAAACTCAGAATAACACTCAGCACTGGGGAAAACAAGTGAAAATTTGTGTGCAGGATAATGCTTCCGATGCTGAGAGGACTAAAACAATATGAGAAAGAAGCATGTAGGAAAAAGTGAAGCTTTGTGGCATGAGATAGAAGGGAGTAAGGTGACATAATTGATACTCTATCGGCAGCTCAGGTAACAGTCAATAGAATTAAGATTATCTTGGTTTTTTCTTCAGGGGATTAATGAAAGGTCAGTTTTCAATACCTGCTTCAGATGGATGGTGGTTTTAAAAGAATCTTTAGTTTAAATAGTTTGTGTGGTTGACGGGCTTTATTTTTGGAAATTATATTACTCTGACCCTGATGAGCCTTTTTGCAACTGAGTATTGAGAAGCTTTCATGCTTTTATTATAGAAAATGCATTTTCATGTTAATGGATGGCAGGCAAGGTCAGGGTCCTTCAGAAATTGCAACTATGATTGCTTATTTCTTTTAAAGCAAGAGTTTTGAAGACCATGGGAGATCCAGAAGCTATGATCATGCCACCTTTTCATTAAGGAGTTAGTGCATTTATGTGAGAACACAATGTATAAATTACATTTCTTCTTTGCTTCTGGGAATTTGAACCCACATCTCTTACTAACCAGGATAGTGTTTTAATAATCAGGTAGTTTCTCAGTGTGTGGCTTGTAGGGTTCTGAAGGCATTTTAAGGTGTAGAAAAACTCCATTGCTCACCCCCAGATTTAATACGGCAACTCAACTCCTCCAGGATTGGGGAGCATCTGTTATGTTATGTTAATCATGGATCCACTTGCTGCCTTTAACTGCTTGCAGGTTTTTGAAGGGTTTAGGAATGTCTTGAGTCTGCAACCACCAGTTATAGCCTCTGTTTTAGACAGTCCTGGCCATGAGGGTACACTGACTTGGCTGTCAATCCCAAGTTAATATATTCGTGTTCCCATGTAACTCTATACTGCCTTCCCAGTCATGCTGCAAGTATTCTTTGTAGATCTGTACAGTAATAGATCAAGAAGCTGATCTGGCTTAAAAAAGCATTACCTGAATAAAGGAGTGATGTGCACAAGTGTAGGGTTTCAAACACAACTGATGGTAGACAAGTGTCAGGAACAGCTTGAGCCATTATTATCATCAAAGCCAGAGCAATGTCAAATCATGATTTGAGATGCTGCTGACTCAGGGATTTACACAAAGACAGATGAGTCAAGTGGGTGTTGTTCTTTGAAAAATAAATGCACAGAACTATAGGCTGTTCTTAGTGGAAACATTTCTGTGTCTTGAAGCTTCAGAAGAAACATTAAGATGAACGATTCAAAGAGAAGGAGCAAGGATTAGCTTGGTCCCCAAATCTACTGGCAAGGGTTGTCTTTTAGGCTCTGGTTTCTTTTCCCAAGGCTCTTTGTGTAATTTTATTTAGTGATTATTTTACATTGAAAAACACCCCAAATACTTGGGTGCATGAATCAGAAATAGGCAGCACATGAAAAGAGGGGGAGACAAATAAGTTTGGGAGATGGAAATCTTTCTACTATAGTCCACTCCATCTAAATTAATGTCCTTTTAAAATCAGCTTTTATATTATATAAACTTTTTGCTCTGTTACTTGTATGACTTAGTGCTGCTTTTTTTTTGTTTGTTTTTTGTATTTTCATTTGTCACTAATAGCCCTTCTTGCTTCATCAGTGTCAGAGGGGCCTACCAGACGAGTTCTCTGTTGGCTGTACTGCCTTCAGAGCAGTAAAATCTGAGTAAGATTTTAAATGAGAAGTAAGGGCTGTGTCTGTGTGGTAGAAAGAAACAGGGAAACAAGTGGTGTTCAGATAATGAAATAGAGTCCTGGACATAGACAGCAGAGTAATATTCAAATGAAGCTTTGGTTACTACAGCTATGCCTTTTAAAATAGTTTTTAATGGATTATTTAAATATGATTTTATGTGTTCTAGTGCTAGTATCGATAAAGAAACAATTGCTGGTACCAGTTCACCACAGGCAATGTTGGATCACCATCCTGCGACAGTCATGATGGACTTGCAGTCAGAAGAGGATGTCAAACCTCCTCCTTCTCTGATCATAGACTCACAGCAAAATGAGAACTTAGGACAAGAGGAAGAACACCAGCTGGTGCATATTATGGAAAGGTCTCCTTCAACGTCAGTGTCTTCAGTTGATATGAGAGTGATGATGTCTCCTTCCCCTGTACCAAGGAGAGATGAGTTTTTTAGGCTTGAGGTTGGAGAACGCTTTAGACCAATGTGTGGTTATGACCCACAGATGTTACAAATGCTGAAAGAGGAGCATCAAATAATATTAGAAAACCAAAGAAAAATTGGTCTTTATGTCCAAGAGAAAAGGGATGGTTTGAAAAGAAAGCAGCAACTGGAAGAAGAACTGTTGCGAACAAAAATCAAAGTAGAGAAGCTGAAGGCAATACGACTACGCCGTGATCTGCCAGAATACAGCAATATCTAAATATTTTATTACTTCTGTCATATTCCTTGAAATACTTAATAATAAATGCAAAATTGTTTTTTATGCTAATATGGATGGATCAAAATCTGGGCTTGAGATGTGAAAGCATTGTTTAAGTACCCTAGAAAAATACCTCGTATGGGTTTGTATGCACCAACTTTTCTGGACTAAAGTATAATCAGATCCATGTTTAAGTGTTTAGATTGATAAAAACCCAAACTTTAAAAATATTTCCACTTATCTCTAGAGTTGTGATGAGCTAATGGAAATTTAAGTCAGCTCTTGTTAAAAATTTTGGTCATATGCATTATTTTTTCAAATAATCACCTTAAATATCTGAATGAAGTTGCAGGTAAATAAATGCATATAAGAAGGAGAAATAAGAGGCTATGTTTAAATGTTTTACTCTTTTCAAGTTGGTAAATCTTACGACAGTAGTGACATTTTGCTGATATGTCAGCTTGGAAAACAAAATACTGGATTGTTATATTTTTTTAATGTTCAGTAGGCAGTTGAATAAATGTGCATCTTTTAAAAAGTTAATACTTTTAAATTGTTTCCAGTGGAGAAGTGTTTCCATAGGATGTTATCAAAATAGAGACAATGAATGCAACACTTGGTTTTTAAAACTGCATGCATGTGTAATTTGTGTGTACAGTTACCATGATTGTGTATTCAGTTATAGTAATTATACTGGTGATCAACCACATAAATATCTACTTTGCTCATTTGCATGCATAATTACTACAATGCATGTGCAACCAAGACAGTTGCAGGTGCCTTTGATCAATATCACTATAAGCTACTGAAATAAAATAGTTTCTGTATGTAAGTAACATGTGACTTGAAATCATCAGAAGATTGTGTTATTCTGGGTCCCTTTTATAGATACTGTTGTTCCGATCTTTCGATTAGTTTCAAATAAAAAACCCCAAATGAAAACAAAATGGATTCTTCTGTCTGTCCTGGTAGCAGCTGTTTCCTCTGTAGTTACGATTAACATTCATAACTGGAAGAAAAATACGTGGAAAATATCAGTCCCAGATGATTAATTTCTTCATAATTCTTAGTCTCCTGCCTGTTGTGAGTGGATCCACGACTGCCTTAGACCGCTGGCTCCTTACTCCCTGTAACAATGCTTTCCCCTTCCTCTAACCTTTACAGCAAGAAAAGGAAATTAAGGACAGCATCAAGGAAAAAGACAGAACAAAGGAAATGTCATTTCTCTCGCGCCTCCCATCTCAGAGGGCCCCAAAAACAGAATGAACAAAAGCAATAGGAAAGAGACTATTTCTTCCTCACTCCTGTCACTACTGTTTTCCCAAATTTGCTTCTTTCTCCAGTCCCAAAAAACCTCTTCATGCAAAAATGGGGCACTGGTCTGTGTCAGCAAACTCTCAATGAGGTAAGCCTCACACCTTGTTGGTCTTCTGAGTAAATCAGGTACCACAGGGGTAGGTACTTACTGAAAACTGAAGACTGGAAGTATGTAAGTCTAGTTGAGGAGCTAATGGAGCTTAAAGAATTATAGTTAAATTTTGTGATACAATCATCTTGACTGTGACTGCCCAGGATAACTTTAACAGGTTTCAGATAGAAAAAGTAAAGGAAGCAAGTATTTTATTTACAAACTGAGGGAAAATTATAGAACAGTGAAAACAGATGTTGACAATGTTGAGCTCCTCAATACTTTTTCAGTTGTTTTCTTGAGAAGAGAGTACTGTAAGTGTTTTGGGAATTTTTGTGTGCACTGAAAATAATGGTGCCTGGATAAGTGGCCTTTGTTCCAGTACAGTCCTTGGCTTTCTGCTGTGCTTCTTACTTCAAGGACATTGATCTGTTTTTGTGTAGCTGGAAACACTTCAAGGAGATACTCACTTCTCTAAGTTTACAAGAATCAAAATCCTGGCTTTAATAAATAAATATAGATTTTATTTGTTCTGCTTCTCAGAAATGGGAAACAGCACTAAAATATCTGCCCTTGTCTTGTAATTTGGAAATGTATGATCTTACCTTTTCAGTTGAAAATCAGAATTCTGGTTTCCAGTGGTAAGGAATTAATTTCTACTTTCTGTTCTTATATATTATGCAAATGAGCAAGTTTCTAACAGTTTGTAAAAAAATTCCCATATGGCTCATTGTCTTGCAGTGGTTTTGATATATAGGTACTCTTAACACTGGCCGCTGATGCTAGATGAAGAGGTGACTTCCAGGGTTTCTACTAGCATGGTATTTTTATTTTGAGGACTAGAACTAGAGGAATTTTCAGTCTTGGAAAGCTTATAGTCTTTTCTGAACTGGCAGACAAAGTAGTTGCAAAAATAGGACTTTGCATAGAACAAAGTCTCGCTTGTGTTCTTGATGTTGGAAGGGGAAGGATGCAAATGAGTAAAGAAATGAAATACACTGTCCCCTTATAGTTGGTGTTCTTCCATGTTTTGCTGTTCTGACTTTGTGTCACTTGTTAATGGAAGACTTTTATTCTTATCTGGAAGCAGCATGTCTAGGTCAGAGATCTCATGCTTCTCATTTGCTGTGTTCTCAGTTTTGTTTCTTTTGACTTTTGGGGAGCTTGAGAACGGGGGAGACGTGTTGAGTGCCCATGGAGCTCACTCCTTTCTTTACTAGTGAGATGATTATTTCCTTTCACTAGAAAAGTGTTTCCTCCTTCAGTGCCATTATATTGCTCTCTCAGTGCAGTGTGGTGCTGACTATATATTATTCCTCTCTATGTTGGTGGATTTGCATTTCTTTCTCACTCCACATCTGCTTTACAGTATCAGGTTATCTTTCTGAGTCTGACTTCTCACTTCTCCGTGCCTGTTCCTGTTTTTTTTCCATGTATTCCTAATGTTGGGTACATGCACCACAGCTGTGACTGGTCCTTCTGGACCATGAAGTACTATGAATTTTTACTGTTCCAGCAAATGATACTGTGCTAGCATGTGTGAAGGGGATGGTAGGAAGCCCTTCCCTTCTTCACCCTCATTCTTATCCTCTTACTCCCTTGCTACATCTGGCAGTGCCATTCCCTGTCTGCATGTTTATAATGTACAGAGTACAAGCAGAATAATTTTAGGCAAGGACAAATTTCTACCATATGTTCATGTCCTTCTACCAAGATAACTGCTGTTATCTGTTAATAAACAGGCTGTAGGAGTAACTTAATTCCAAACATGTAATGGATTTATGTTTAGGATTAGAATAAAAAACTGTACCTATGATAACTTTGTGATATTTGCGATAACATCTTGTGTGATTTCATCTATCCAAGTAACTGGCTCACAGTCAGTCTATAATTTCATCACTGCCACCTAAATTATCTTGCTTTTTTGTTCCTGCTTCCCTCTGTAAGCTTTTGATTCTTGTGGAATGCTTGCTTTAGATGAGAATTCTAATCAAGTAAAAATGGTAAGAGAGAATACTCCAAGATTTCTTGTAGCTAATTGTACTTGTCACACCCCTGTTTTCTAACATTTTCCATTTAACTAGCTTAAATTTATTTCTTTCATTTATATTGCTACACATTTTCTGACTTGAGTTTCCCCCCCCCAGTGAAAATGCATAAACTTGAGCTTGCATACTGTCTTCTTTGGGCAAACTTGTACTCCTTGGATTTCCAATAGTCAAAGCCACTAAGTTCCTTATAATTAAATGATAGTTGTTTCTGAGTGGGAGGAAGAAACAAGAAATTATGTTACCCAGGCTGCCTGGTTAAGCTGTCTTTTAAAATTTCCTGTGTCTTTTTTTAAAGTGCTTTGAAAATAAGAAGTCTCCAGAAAGAACATTTTTAGCATTAAAATGCATTAAATATAATTTCTGGGTGTGTATTCCTAACAAGTAAGGCCATTATTCTGCTTTCAATATCCAGGTCTTAAATCATTTGAGAAATCTTACTGCGTGTGTAGAGTAAAAAAAAAAGGTGCTGTTTACAGTAGTTAAATGTCTGTTAGCTGTCTGTATAACATAGGACTAAATTTCAATCATTCTGTGACCTCTGTTTCTGTGTTTTATCTCTGCTAAAACCAAAAGTATTTGCCTTGATGTCAACCTGTGTGTAGTGATGCTTGCTCTTAAATGTCATCCAGTTTGTATGGGTAAAGTTTTTCTCCATACTATAGATGCAGTTTCCTGAAGTTCCTTTGAAAGCTAAGTATCAAAATGTGAATTCGTCTTTGTAAAACCTACAGTTGTCCAGTGGTAAAATAGTTGAAAACCTTGCTTTTGATTCGTGTATGTGAGGAGGTGGATGAGGGTCAGAGGACCCAAGGAAAGCTCAGCCATCTGTAGGCATTGGCATTCCCCACTGCCCCTGCCTTTGTTCCATGCTAGGGGATTTTCACACTGTTTTATCCTAGTGACTACACAGAATGATTTGTTGATGCATCCAAATTTCTCATCAGTTTAACATCTTGTTTGACTCTGTATTACTCACACAAGAAGAATATAATATAATTTAAATTGAATACTTAATCAGCAGTTACTCCACATAATTTATGATTTCTATTTGCTCTTTAACAAAACTGCAGACTTGGAAAATGCTACTGATTTTTTTGTATTTTACATATGCAATTATATATATATATATTTAAAAGAAGTCATTGTTTCCTGGCCATTTCCTTCTGGCTCTTGATTTTAATTTATAGTTAGGCACAATAACTGGCATAATTTGACATAGGTATCATGAAAAAATAATTCCACTGGCTTACATTGCCCCTTCAGATTTGGGTGACTTCAGGACCCAGTTTGGTTAAGGCTCAGTCATTTTGTCTGCAGTATTCTGTGTGTCGCCATTTGCTTGCTTTGTATGTTGTTATACGAGCCTTGCCTGTATTGCTAATACTTTCTCAAAATACATTAATTTTCAAAGTTTGGAACTTTCTGCATGCTTGAAATAAGTAAACCAGTTTATAAATGACTGATTTTAAATTTTATATTTTTAGCTTTCATTTAACTGAAGCAATTGGACAGTGTTTATCTAGTTTGGGGATGGGGAGAAGGGATGTTGTAGTGCCTGTGGTTAGTTGCTACAATATTGTTTGTGTCCTGCACTGCCTGAGATAAAAACTTGGAGTAGTGTCAGGTTGTATTTGTTACTAATCACTGAATATGTCATGTGAAAGAAGTAATTTATCATAACTCAGCAGCAGTTTGCAGATAAATTTTACATGAGCCACTTATCGATAGTATTAAGAATACCATTTTGTGAAATCAAAACGTTTATGTGTGGTATGTAACAGAGATACAGGATTAAAACCAGTTACTATTGCTATTGCCATGTTCTCTTGTAATATAGCATTTGTTTTGGGCTGCACTGTAAGCCACATCCAAACAAAATTGACTTGTAAGCTCTGCAGGTTTCACCCAAGTGATGTTTGCATTGCTTTGCATTGTCAGGAGGCTTTGGCGGTAGGTTGTACATGACAGGATGACCTTAGCAGCATTAACTGTCAGTTTGGCCAAGCTACTTTATGCTGTGTTACCTCCTCTCAGCTATAATGTCTGTGTTCTATAAATGTGTTTGTTGGTGACTCATCTTTTTCCTGTGAATCAAATTGCAGGGAGAATACTCTGTTTAGCATATATTGAATTTTTATCATCTTTCCTTTGTAGTGTTCCAGTTTTCCTGTGCTTTTGAAAAAGTACTTGAAACTTGGCATCAAGCTGGTCTGTGGCCATTTCTAAAAAACCTCACTCAAGTTTGTCTTAATTTGTAAGTTGTTAACAAACACAGGAGGTGGTCATTTTCAGAACAAGTTTGTTACACCTTGGATGTAGTCCATGAAAACTGATTCTTAGGAAAGCCTGTCCAGCCTGAACACATTGCTCTCTTGAGAGTGGATCAAGGAGTTCTCAACTGTGAACACTCTGAATGAAAGCAAGAAAATATGTCTGTAGTTTTTTTCCAGTGATGGGACAGACAGCCTTAGTGAGGAAGCCACTTTGT